AAAATTCCTGAACTACAGAAGTGACAGCTGACGGCTTAACCACATCAGACAGTCAAAACAAAACAAACAAACAAACAAGCAATTGTGCTAATGGCTATCGGGCATTTTAACGTTGAAGTTACAAATATTTGATAGGTCAAAGAGCAATGGTGATTATTAATACGTCAGTTTCTTCAAAGTGGAAACGCTGTGAATAGCTGGCAAAGGCGTCCATCCATCCCCATCATGTCCGTCTGCTCTGCACGTAAGCCGGCCAAAACCAGGAGAACCTCGCGGAACGAACAGCGGGCACACAAGAGCATGTTTGTTTCATCATGTGTTTTTTGTGTGTGTTTTGTGTGTGTAGATCTGGATTTCAATTCATCTGATTGTGCTGGTAGTTGTTTTTGTATGTGCGCATTTGTACATGTTTGTACATGTGAATTTAACGCATATAGTTATGCGTATATATATATATATATATATATATATATATATATATATATGTGTGTGTGTGTGTGTTTGTTTGTGTGTTTGTGTGTGTGTGTATCATATTGAAGTTGGTCGTATGTACGCACAGAAGCACTTTTGCTCATTTAATTATGTAGATCAGTTTGTCTTAATGTATTTGCTAATGTATTGTTATGAATATGTATAAATATATTTTCTTTAGTTTTTACTTTCTGTTTAGTTGCATTTCTTTTGAAAGCCATAAGTTATAGAGAACGTGAAAGGAAGATTTATTGCTTTATTTATTGGCTCATTTGTCGGTAGATTTGATAATTGGTTGGTTAGTTGGATGGTTGGTTGGTTGATTGGTTGGTTAATTAGTTGGTTGATTGGTTGGTTGGTTGGCTGGTTGGTTGGTTGGCTGGTTTGTTGACTGGTTGGTTGGTTGTCTAGTTGGTTGGTTGGTAGATTGATTGGTTGGTAGGTTGATTGGTTGGTTGGCTGATTGGTTGGCTGGCTGGTTGGTTGATTGACTGATTGGCTGGCTGGTTGATTGGCTGGTTGATCCCGAGTTTGCAAGTTTTATTACCTTTTTCGTCATCACCATCTTTGTATGCCTACAGCAGGCCCCACTTCTGCTTCACATGCCAACACACACGAACCTACACATTTGCACAGACACACACAAACACCTCCACACACCAATAAACGCCCACTCGTTTGCACAAACACACACAGACCTACGTGCACATTCGGACATAATTAAAGTATCTTTTCAAATATTATACATATAACATTTATACAAACACATAAACATTCATACAGACACATAAACATACATGCAAACATGTATATATATATACATTCATACAAATGTATATATATATATATATATATATATATATATATTCATACAAGTGTGTGTTCACTCATACACACATATAATACATACAACGTTATAACAACAATGAATCATCAAAAGAAATATTTGCAAATGTTCAAACATAATCACAC